TTAGGCCTGAAGGGGGCATTGTGTCATTTCTTCACACAGCGCACAGTCAACCTGTGGAACTCCTTGCCAGAGGATGTTGTAAAGACCAGGACTTTAACAGGGTTCAAAGAAGAACTAGATAAATTCATGGCAGTTAGGTCCATCAATACGTATGAGCCAGGATGGGTAAGGATGGTGTCCCTAGCCTAGGTTTAGCAAGGGAGGGATCACCTGGTGATGACTGGCTCTGTTCACTCCCTCTGGGGCACCGGGCATTGGCTACTCTTGGCAGACAGGATACTGGGCTGGATGGACCATTGGTCTGATCCTATGAACGTCCAGACTGGGTCAGACCAATGGTCCATCTAGCCCAGTGTCCTGTCTGCCAAGAGTCGCCAATACCAGGTGTTTGGAATGACTGAACTGCAGAGCATCAGCCCCCCCGATTAGCTATCGGGCAGCTACCAGAGGAAGGAGAAGACACTTTGCTCCTTGTGCCCATTCCCATAAGAGCGATCCTTGCCAGACAATTACGTTAGTGTTCAGCCGGACAGCAACCCACGCTGCGATTCATCTGCAACTGTAACTTGGCTAATGATGTGTTTTGTCTCCCAACCCAGATTAACAGCAGGGCACAAATGTTGTTTTGCTCACTGGAAAGGAAGTGCCCTAAGCAAACATCTAATCACACAGGCACTCGGCTGTAATAACCCTCTTGTTTTCTCCAAGCAAAGCCAACTGGAGCATTAAGAGCATACGTCTGCAGGGTTACGCATTCTAGACTTCAGCCAGTGCTACCTGGGGTAGCTTGGAGCAAGGAGGCAGGAATGGGATAAGTCGGTGCTCAGTACAATATAGAACCGTAGACCATTAGAACTGGAAGGGCCCTCAAGAGGTCATGAAGTCCAGTCCCCTGCCCTCATGGCAGGACCAAGCACCGTCTAGAGCATCCCTGATAGATGTCAATCCAACCTGTTCTTAAATATCCCCAGTGCTGGAGATTCCACAACCCCCCTAGGCAATTTATTCTAGTTTAATCACCCTGACAGTAAGAAGCTTTTCCTTATGCCCAACCTAAACCTCCCTTGCTGCGATTTAAGCCTATTGCTTCTTCTTCTAGCCTCAGAGGGGTCAAGAAGAACAATTTTTCTCCTTGTAACACCCTTTTAGGTCCTTGAAAGCTGCTCTCATGTCCCCTCTCAGTCTTCTCTTTTCCAAACTAAACCAACCCAGTTCCTTCACCTAGGAAGTTCCATTGGCCATCCAGCTATGGCACTTTTGCTCTGAGTCACCGCGGATGTTTGGGCCAGTTAAGGATCCGACCAGTTAAAGATCCCATCATGCTCACAACTACTAGGAGATACTTGCACCAGGACAGTCAAAAAAGGGGATTTTTCTGTCCAAAAAAACCCCACCCCCCAAGAAAATGAAAATCTTTCGTTTCGCGCCACGCTTTTTGGTGACGAAATGAATGGAAAGGAAACTATTCTGTGCCATTTCCGATCAAAACAGTTCATTTTGCTTTAGATTTTGAACTGGCCATTTTCTGTTCCTTTCATCAAACCTTCTGAAGAAAAGCGGTGAGACTAGGAGCTGGGCTCGAGGAAGCCGCGTGGGTGGGGGATGGGTTTCGCCTCTTCCTGCCGTGGTGAGTGGGGAAGGGACCTGTGACACAGTGGGGGGTACCTTGCTGGTGGCTATGCTGGGCAGTGGGTTATGAGTGACCTCCACTGGCTGTGGCACGGCCCAGCAGGGCAAGGGATGAGTCATTATGCAAGGGGGCTTCGAAACTCGTCAGACAGGTATCTCCCAGGGAGCGGAACAATGGGAAGAAGGGGAGTTGAGCCCTGGCTGGGGGCAGGGCTGGAAGTGAGGGAGTTAGTTTCTGTCTGGGAGCATGGAGGAGACAGCCTAGGGAAAGGGGCTGGAATTTAGGGGTCCAGTCTCCCCCATCTCAAGGGGGGCTGAGGCATCCTAGGCCTGCCCTGGAACCAGATTACATCTGTGCTGTGCTGTATCCCGGAGAAGCAATAAACTCCCTCTATTCTACTGGCTGGTGGAGTCTGTCCGTGCCATTACAGGGGTGCAGGAGATGGGAAAACCTCACCGCGCTGTCACAGGGCCCAACACCAGCTTCAGCCTCTCCCCCACCCCCAGTAAAATCACATTGCCCAGGGAAGGGGGCTTTGTGGAAGGGACACCATGGGGATGGAAGGGGGAAGAGCAGGGGCAGGAAGAGGCAGGGCTTGGGAGAAGGGGTGGAGGCTGAGCAGGTGTGGGAAGAGGTGAGGTGAGGCCTGCAACAGAAGGGGGTGTTCTGGGCCCTGCCCCCTCAAAGACACCTTCCACTGTTAACTGATAAGAGTAAAAGGCCTAGTAGATAAATTAGCTGTGTCATACCCAACCTTCAAAATATTTTGGGTTTCTGGCCATCAGTTTCCTGTGATGCCTGCTTTGTTCTCTCACTGGGATAAGAAGAAGGCTGACCCTGCACAACTTATATGGTGGGGAGGGGGAATATGCCTCAAGCCGCTCCCCTTCCCCAAGCCTACCTTTGGCTCTTTGCATTTCTTTTGCTGAAATCCACAACAGCGTTCAGTGCATTCAAACCTAGGAGTACGTCTAAACTACATGGCTCCATCGACGGAGCCATGTAGATTTGTTTGTCTGGCAAAGGGAAATGAAGCCGCGATTTAAATAATCGCAGCTTCATTTAAATTTACATGGCTGCTGTGCTGAGCCGACAAACAGCTGATCAGCTGTTTGTCGGCTCAGCACAGCAGCCATGTAAATTTAAATGAAGCTGCGATTATTTAAATCGCGGCTCGGGGAGGTCGATAAAGGGCTTTCATGTCAGCTCAGCGCAGCAACCATGTCAATTTAAATTAAGCCGCAATTATTTAAATCGCGGCTTCATTTCCCTTTGCCTGCAACCCTCATCTACATGGCTCCATCGATGGAGCCATGTAGTTTAGACACAACCTAGGAGTTCTGCCCTGCGTCTGCGTCTCAGGGCCTGATCCTCCCCCTGCTTTTCCCAGCCGACTGCAGCAAAGATGTACACCGGTGTTAACGAACGCGGACTCAGGCGTCTAATTGTCCAGGGTTTTGGGTTGCGGGGAGGTGCCTTGCCCAGTCAGCCTCTTTGACTAACAACCCTTGGTCCATGCGAGGAGCAAAACAGATGAGTCACTTCCCAAATCAGTGGTGACTCAGTGGGCTACACGAGAACTTTCAGCACCCCACCAATGAATGCCACCAGATGACCTAGATTGAGCCTGGATTCAGCGGGACAGCTCCCCTTTGCTCTCACGTGGCTCTTGTTACTCTCGTCACTAGGCTGTCTTCAGTGGCTGAGATGTGCAAAACGGCCTAAGGAATTAGATGCCCCAATCCTGTTGACTTCCAATAAGAATTGGAGGCCTAAATCCCTTTGGAAACCCCAGCCTTAGTCACTAGGGACCTGGCTCTGAATGGGACGAAGGAAAGGAGAAGGAAGAGATATGCGGGGTGCCAGATCTGTGCTCTGTTTTCCTCCGGCCTAGTAAAACCTGTGAGCCAATAGGAGTGGGTACAAGGCCCTTCCTCTGTGTTTGAGCCAGGGGGGAGAGCCCTGCAAATCGGCGGACATCTGCTTTATTCCCGTGGGGAGCCACGCCTGCGGATGTGGGTGCAGGGATCCGTGCTTCATTTTTGTGGGTACGGATGCAGACACAGATTTTGTATCTAGAACCCTACAAATGTGCGGAAATCCACTCTAGAGCCACAGGCATCTGCATTCCCGGGGGAGAATGGGGATCTCCACGGATCGTTTTTGCAGAGGTGGATGCCGATTGGGTGTCCGCACAGGGCTCTACCAACGGCCCTCGGCAATGCCGCATCCTTATTCCAGCTCCCTGGATGGAGCATGTGGACAGATTCCCAGCGTCCCCAAAGAGCCCTGCTGGAAGCAGTTCTGGGGTGGGGCAGGCACACGAGGGCTATTCTGGGTGAGCTCCTGGTCCCTGGTTCTCGGTCACTAGAGCTCTGGGACAAACTACACTCACAGCAGGTGCAATTCACCCCTGCTCAGAAACAGGGCCGCCCTTAGGATGTATGGGGCCCGACACAGCACTATTAAACTGGTGACCCTCTGCCCCATGACAAATGGGGGGAAGGGGATTTCTTTTAGGGATGTAATTTTATAATCCTTAGTGACACACATGAAATATTTTTAAAGCAAATTTTAAGCTGGGGTCCTGGCGCCGAACACAGTAAACTCAGGAAGTGGCAGGACAGACCTGGGGCTGGCAAATGCCTGTGAAATGGCTTCGTTACCACCCGCACGGTTCTTTCACAGGTTCTGCTCATAGCTGTGGCCGGCTTTGCCACTGTTCAGTTAACTAGATCCCCTCTGGAGGAAGCAGAGCCACAGCCCACGGATAGGAAGAGGTGGTGGGTGGACGTTCAGAGCTCGCGGTGCCCCAGATTTTCAGGTGCCCCACGCAGCTGTGTATTCCGCATACGAGTAGGGCTCTGCTCAGAGGCTATCACAATGACTCGGCCTGCTAAATCCCGCTCCCAGCCAGTGTTCTGCCCCAAGGACTTTGGGATATGTCTACATTGCACAAAAAAAGAATCCCGCCAATCCCATGACAGCAGGTCTCAGAGTCTGGGTCAGTTGTTGTGGGGAACAGGGGCTGGAGCCTGAGCCACGAAACTTGGGGGAGGGAGGAGTCCATCTGCAGAGTGACGAATTTCCCCCAGCCAGAGCTCAGCTCTTCATAGTCTTTGCCCTCTTGCTGGGCTCTTTCTCGCTCAAAAGGATTGAAGTTACAGATCCTTTCTTAAAAAGCATCCCCACCCCACCCCCACCAGTGTGTTTGCTCCAAGGACAGGGCACCCTGGCATGAGGCGAAAGGTGGCAAAAGGTGAGTTCTTTCAAAACAAAGAAAATCACTGAGCAAAACTGGAGTTGGCCATCTCATGCTTCCTGTTGCGTTCCCTTCACCTGCTATTTCTCTTGCCTTTCTCTGACTCAGGTGAGTCTGGCTCTCCCCCGACGCCATGGACTGGAAGACGTTACAGGGCCTGCTGAGCGGGGTGAACAAGTACTCCACGGCCTTTGGGCGCATCTGGCTCTCCGTGGTCTTCGTCTTCCGGGTGCTGGTCTACGTGGTGGCAGCAGAGCGCGTGTGGGGGGATGAGCAGAAGGACTTTGACTGCAACACCAAGCAGCCCGGCTGCACCAACGTTTGCTATGACCACTACTTCCCCGTCTCTCACATCCGCCTCTGGGCCCTGCAGCTCATCTTCGTCACCTGCCCTTCCCTGCTGGTGATCATGCACGTGGCCTACCGGGACGAACGGGAGCGGAAGAACCGGGAGAAGAACGGCGAGAATTGCCCCAAGCTCTATAGCAACACGGGCAAGAAACACGGCGGGCTGTGGTGGACCTACCTGCTGAGCCTCTTCTTCAAGCTGACCATCGAGATCACCTTCCTCTATCTCCTCCACAAGATGTGGGACAGCTTTGACCTGCCACGCCTGGTCAAGTGTGCCAACCTGGACCCCTGCCCCAACATCGTGGACTGCTACATTGCCCGGCCCACCGAGAAAAAGGTTTTCACCTACTTCATGGTGGGGGCCTCCGCCATCTGCATCGTCCTCACCGTCTGCGAGATCTTCTACCTCCTCTTCAAGCAGGCCGCCCGGAGCCTGCAAAAGTGGAAGAAGAACGCCACCAAGCACGCAATCAGCTACAGCCTGGCTTCCACCTGCCGGTGCCACATCAAGCTGGAGCAGCAAGAGGCCAAAGCCAAGAACAAGACATTGGAGGCTCTCCGGGCCTCTGCCCCCAACTTGACTTTGATCTGAAAGGGCATAGCGGGGGCGGGAAGAGCCCTCACATTGGCCAGAGACAGTTGGCTTCCAAGATGGCTGCCTGCTATGCCACAAGTATTACCGGAGTATTTCAATGGGAACTCGATGGCTCTGGAAAATCCAGGGCGAGGAGGCCCATCTTCAACAGAGGGGGCTCTTCCTGTTCTGTGTGGCCGACATGTGGGGATGTTTATGAGACTATGGGCTGTGGCCGCCATTTTGTTGGGGCCAGGCAGAAAGGACGAGGCCCTGGCTGTGAGTTTACATGCAGGGCACAGGTTGGGTGGTTTGCCCGGCCGAGGAGGGTGCGCTTTTCATTATTTGCAGGCCATCAAGCCGCTCTGTGTGATCCTGTAGGTTGGAGCTTCCCTCGTACATGCTCGGACAGGCCCTAGGGAAGGGAGGCAAGGGCTGGCTTTTAAGCCTGAGGAGAAATGACTAATGTAAAGTTGCCAAGGACAATATTTGCCTGCTGTTCTCTTCCCCCCACTGATACTGGCACACCCCAAAGCCCAGCTCCCTTCCTGGACTCCAATACATTGAGTAGGGGGGGCTTGGGCCCAGTACCTCTGCGGAGGGTTAATTCACCAGGTCGTTGAAGGAAGGGGCTTCACTCGGAGACTGAAACAGGGATCAGATCCCTGCCTCGCCCCTGAACCGTGACCTTACCATAGAAGGAAGTCCACGGAGTCTAGCAGTTCTGTGGGAACAAAGCCATAGGCTCCGAGTGGGCCTGTGGGTGTGGCTCTTGGGAGAGTCCGTGTATTGCGGTAGGGGAGTCAAATCCCATTTCGTTAGGTAACGAGTTAAATGTTAACGGATTAAATGGGGGCAGGGAGGCTGGCGCAGCCCATCCCCTGGCCCCTCACCACCACAGCAGGAAGGGACTGCTCCAGCCCAGTTGTTTGCCAGCAAGACTGGAGCAGCCCTCTGCCCGCAGTGGTCTGCACGTGGGGGAGGGAGCGGGCTGCTCCCCAGATACCAGTTAACCAGTGCCCAGTTAGCATTCCCATTGAGAGTGATGCTCACTGGGGGTGTCTAAACTACGTGGCTCCATTGACGGAGCCATGTAGCTTAGGCTGATCGGCAAAGGGAAATGAAGCCGCGATTTAAATAATCGCGGCTTCATTTAAATTTAAATGGCTGCTGCGCTGAGCCGACAAACAGCTGATCAGCTGTTTGTGGGCTCAGCGTGCTAGTCTGGACGCTCCCGCACCGACATGAAAGCCCTTTATCGACCTCTCCGTTATGCCTCGTAGGATGAGGTTTACCGAGGAGGTCGATAAAGGGCTTTTATGTCGACAGAGAAATGTACAGGGTGCCCCAATCTGCCGACAAATAGCTGATCGGCAGAGTGGGGCAGGCATTTAAATTTAAATGAAGCCGCGATTATTTAAATCGCAGCTTCATTTCCCTTTGCCGAACAAACAAATCTACATGGCTCCGTCGACGGAGCCATGTAGTTTAGATATGCCCTGGATAACCGCTTACCCGTTAACATCTCTAGTTTGCATCTTCCTCAGAAACGTCAACCTCTCTCCAAAAGGTCTCAGACCAGGCAGCAAAGAAGCCCCCTTATTGTACATTGGGGGCCTAGTGAGTGCATGAAACTTTCCTGGGAGAGTTTAGTCAGTAAAACATCGGAGAGCAAAAGGCCCTGAGTTAAGGCACTCGCTAGAGAAAGCAGCAAACACAGTAGCTATAACAGTGTCTCCACGGCAGCTTCTCCTCTTGGAACTGGATGGCGAGTGTAACCGTGGCAGCGTTTCAAGGAGCAGCCAGAGAGCCCGGTGAATTTGGAGGTTTGGGACCCGTTCTGGGCCAGACCTTCTGATGACATAAATGGAGCTAGGTCGGTTCCTACCAGCTGAGGCTCTGGCCTTGTACCTTTGGCTTAAGTTGTTTTCTGTTCTAACGTTTATGCTTTGTCCTAAATCGGTAAACCTGTGTTCTCAAGTCGCTGCTGGCTCAGACCTACTGAGTCCTCTCGTTCCTGGTTGAAAATGGCGTCAGGGAGTAAAATTCAAATTGAAATGTGAAAAATTCATCCTTGGGGTAACACCAGGCAAATTCAATGGAGGTGTCAATCAAACTACACCAGAGAGATCTCTATCCAAGTGAATTTATTGTAGACCATGACTGAAAATACAGACCATGCTGCCACGTAACTGAGGTTGCGTAGCTGACTAGGACAGGACATAAGAGGTGAGGATCTGAGTGTGCGTATATTTGCAGGAGGTTCCTTGTTCTTTGGATTTATTTTAAATAATTTTGTCAAGATGTCTCTGACTAACCGAGTGTTTTGAGCAGGTGCACCTCCAGGGTGGTGAAAATATCCAGACCTTGACCGAGCAAACTCTAGCAGTGGTCCCCAATCTTTCGTGGCTGCCGGGCGCCCGGGGGTGGGGCCACTCACATGCTGCACTTCCGGGGGTAGGGCCACACATGTGCCGCGCGCCCGGGGGCAGGGGCCGTCCACACGCCCTGAGCCCAGGGCCGTCACCATGCATGTGCCGCGCACCAGGGGTATGGGCCGCCCATGCGCCACGCTCCTGGCTGCCATGCGCCACGTGCCCAGGGCCAGCACCATGCATGTGCCATGCGCCGGGGGCGGGGCCAGCCCAGACGTTTCGGCAGGCGCACATAAATGCCCCGTCTGGTACCATGGCGCCTGCGGGCACCACATTGGGGACCACTGCTCTAGAATTATGCACTTGTTTGCGTTTGTTAACAAGTGGTAGTGTTGGGTGGGAAAGGTTCTCCCTTCCCACAAGAAATTTTGAGATTTAAAAAAAAAAAGTTCCCATCCCAAATCAGGACAAAGTGTCCAAATCATGAAAATGTTCGTGAACCGAGGCTCCAGAAAGAATTTCAGATCTGGTCGAATGAGAGGTTTCCTAATGATCTTTTCCAGACTTTCCGTTTTGATATTGACCTTTTTTTGTGTAGATATATATTTTTACTTGACATTATTTTTACATAATTTCACTTAAGTTTTGAAAGAAAAAATCATTTTGACCTCCCAAAAAATAACTTTATTTAGGGAATGTAACAGGTGTCTTAGATTCTGCTGGCACAAATGCAGGCCAGCAAACATTGGTTTCTGTTGGGAATTTCAGTTCTATCGCTTGCCAGGCTGATATTTACTGATTGGTCAATATCAGTAAATATGGACCAATGTATGGACCAATGTTGTCCTGGAAGGATCTGCATGGAAGGCAGTCAGTGTGTTTGCTCATACTATTGTGCCCTTGGGGCTACACAGTTGTCCTGGAAGGATCTGCATGGAAGGCAGTCGGTGTGTTTGCTCGTACTATTGTGCCCTTGTGGCCACACGTCTCCTTTAGAAATCCAGGAAGACATTTCTCTGCAGTGAGAAGACTAAGGTCTTGTCTATACTTACCCAGAGATTGTCGCTCCAGAGATCGATTTTTCGAGGGTTTGATTTAGCTGGTCTAATAAGGACCAGCTAAACCAACTGCTGATGGCGCCCTCATTGACCCCAATACTCCTCAGGGTCAGGAGGAATAAGGGAAGTTGACGAGAAACTTTCTCCCATCAACCTCCCACAGTGGGGCTGCTGCAGAAATTCGATTTGGTCAACTCTAGCTATGCATGACATTTCTCCCCCAGCATAGACCTGGCCTGAAAGAGCTCCCGAGATGCTGTCTGCTTCGAAGTGCTCAGATTTATTTCTCTTTTGCTGAGCAGCCTGACACACACCAACCACTCCAACTGCCTGGTCCCTTTATACACCCAGAGCCAAAGAAATGGCCTGCAGGTAAATGAGAAGTAGGCCTCCCGTGTTAGCGTTTACAACCAGCGATGCCTCTCACCCATGCTAATGCTGCCCTGCATATCACCCAAACCCCTGTTGCCCGGGATTTTATACCCACGGGAATGACTGCATGAGCACGCAGCCTTTTGGGTCAGCTGATTATCCCTGTGCAAGCCGGGCTGCTCCTCTGATCTGCACTTTGCACCCCCCATGCAGCAGCCCGCAGGAGGATAACGACTAATCGAGCCCCTGATATTAATGACTGCCCCATTGGCCCACCTGAAAATGAACTCCATGTAGCCCGTCGCGGGGTGTTTCTAGACTACCAAGCTTGTCCAGCGATGGCCGCATTGCCCTCGAGAGGAGATACAGCTTACTCCAATGGGAAGAGCTTTTTCTGCCCGGAGAAGATCCCCACCTCCCTGAATGGTAGCTCTGCCAACAGACGCCCACAGCTGCGTCGGCTCTGGGAGGGTGGTCAGCATCAGCATGGCTTGTGTCTAGCCTCTGGCCAACATGCCAATCACTCTAGCTGTGTTTCTCAGGGCTCCGAACACACGGCCTAACCCCTGGTGTGGACGTGGCTGAGTCGATGGAAGGATGCTTACCTCCGCCAGTGCTCAGGCTGTGTCTGTGCTGCAAGGGCTTTTAGTGCCACGGCCCTGTCGTTCGAAGTCAGGCAGTTCAAACCCCGTGTGTCTGCACCCCGTTCGATGAGCAGGGTTTGCATGAAGGACAGGAGAGTGCTCCTGCCAACAACGAGCCGTTTACGCTGCTGCTTGCCATGGCAAAATGTTTTTCGTCAAGTAGCGGGGGGGGGGGGGGAAGCCCCCGTGAATAACAAACGTGGTGTCACTCAGCTGGCCGTGTGGACAAAGCCTCCAAGGATGGATTAACGACGCGTCCGGGAAAAACGCCTCTCTTGCTATAGCGCCAGAGCTGAGTGGCAGTTCGATGGCTACACCGTACGGGTGTGAGCAAGGATGGTAGGTAGTGCAGGCAAGGGCAAAGCCTCCAAGGATGGATTAACGACGCGTCCGGGAAAAACGCCTCTCTTGCTATAGCGCCAGAGCTGAGTGGCAGTTCGATGGCTACACTCTATGGGTGAGAGCAAGGATGGTAGGTAGTGTAGGCAAGGGAAGGCATTGCTTTCCCAAAACTGTCTACACTCCCCAGCTGCCCTGGAGGGCTTGGGGCCGTGTCATATGGCAGTCCAGAGGTCGGGGCAGGCTGGCGCTGGGCTGCACAGCAGCCCGGCTACTTGGCAGCCAGCAAAGGTTGGAACAGCCCTTGCCCTCAGCTGGGGTTGGCTGGCGGGGGAGGTTGTAGACAGGGCCTGGCATAGCCCGTTTCCACCAGCGGAGGAGCCGTCCCATCGGATTTGATGTGTCAAACCAAGCCAAGTTCTTTCGTTTTCTTTTGGTGAATGTCCCCCCCCCCCCCCCCCCCCACTCCTATTGGCTGGGGCACCCTGAAAAACGCTTCACAGCAGCGAGATTGGTATTTTTCATTGTACAGCTGGACTGCTTCATACCTTGGGCTGGGGGATGCGTGTTCTATCCTTGGGGGGCCAAATGATCATTTTATTTGCATAATTAACCAGTGATTGAATGGCCAAATAAACGTTACATTTGTTTATACGTACATGCCTGTTTTCTCTGAGGGATGCTTACAGTGCAGCACTGGCCCCCGCTGAGACTGCGTGCTGATTTCAACAGGGGACCACTGTCTCTTATTTCAGGTACGTTGCTCCCCTGTTTAGGACTTAGGGTGCGAGGTGCTGTACATTCACACCATTCAAAAAGTCCCTGCCCCAAAGACCTTGCAGTCTATATAGACAAAGGGAGAAATAGGAAACTGAGGCACAGAGAGGGAAAGTGACTTGCCCAAGATTGCCCAATAGGGCAGTGGCAGAGTCAAGAATAGAACCAAGGTCTGCTGAGGTCCCAGCCACTGGACCATCCTGTTCCTGCTTCAGATTGCCCATGGATGTTGGCCTGGGTTTAAGTTTACTAAACATTGGGTGACCATAACTTCTCAAAGGGAAAATGGGACCCCCACCCCAGCGGACCCAAGCCTTCCCTGCCTCCCGTCTGTGGCTGGGCTGAAGTTCCCCTCCCCACCAGACCCTAAGCACCCCCCAATCTCCAATCATCTACCTGCGACCCCCTGCAAGCCCCTTCCCCCTGCACATGGGGTTGGTCTGCCATGCCCCCACCACCACCCGAGGCCACACGGCACCCGCCTGCACATTGGGCTGCCGAGATCCCTCCCTCCTGCCAGCAGGGCAAGTTGGCTAACCCAAGACGCTGCCCCTAGCC